ATTTGTGTCTCTCACAGTACCTGGCTTGTAAAGTACCTAGTTCAGGGGAGGCAAAACTTTACCTCTTCCTCTTTAGGTTTTTTTTTTTTTCCCCCCAGCTGGGCCTGAGAATTAAGTTGATATAAGACAGATTAACAGGAGAAAAGCATACAAACATATTTAAATTGGAAATAAATGGAAGTGAAGACCCAAAGAAGCAATTAGAATCAATCTCTCATATACTGAGTTGGACAGATAATAGTAAGTTGTGAAAAAGCAACTAAATATATGGAAAGACTGAAAAGATAAAAGAGTTACTTTAACAAGGTTTGTACAGACTTCTCTTGGCCTCAACTTCCCATCCTTAATTATAAGAGTGTTGCTTTCCTTCTAGCAAAGGGAGGGCATTTTTCAACATGGGAATTTCATCTCCTGCTTTTAAGAAATAGAAGGAAGATCAGAATGATCTTGCACCTGCTGTTTTTCAAGTGTGTTTAACTCAAAATAGTCAATACACCAGAGTGGTATATTTTTAACTCCTTCACTAGCATATTAAGGACTTAGAAAATATTAAGTACTTCAAAACTTCAAAGGAAAATACAGATAGAACCCCTTTAGAATATTCTATATTTGTGTAACTACACACTTAGGTGCTATTAGGCCGGGCATGGTGGCTTACGCCTATAATCCTAGCTCTTTGGGAGGCTGAGGCGGGCAGATCACCGGAGATGGTGAGTATGAGACCAGCTTGACCAACATGGAAAAACTCTGTCTCTACTAAAAATACAAAATTAGCCTGGCGTGGTGGCGCATGCCTGTAATCCCAGCTACTTGGGAGGCTGAGGCAGGAGAATTGCTTGAACCTGGGAGGCAGAGGTTGTGGTGAGCGGAGATCGTGCCATTGTACTCCAGCCTGGGCAACAAGAGTGAAACTCTGTCTCAAAAAAAAAAAAAGATTAAAATATTAGGTGCTATTATTATACGTGTTATTATACATGGTCAGTGATTATATTTACCACACATTTATTATTTTCTTTACCTCAGCATTTTTCCTTGCATCTCAGATATTCCATTTGGGATCATTTTCCTTTTTCCCTTTAGAAATTCCTTTTACAAGATGGCAGGTTTTTTTTTGTTTTTTTTGTTTTTGTTTTTGTTTTTTTGCCTCAGGTGCAGAGAAAATTGAGTTAATCATAGGACATGTTACATATGTATTGTACCCTCATTTTTTCCTTTCTTGCTTTCTACTGGGTAGACTGAATTTTCTTCTGATGATTTAAAGTTTATATTATATTTTTGTTTGCATAATGGTTGCATTTTAAGAGTTTTCTTTAATTCCAACTTTTTTTTTTTTTTCCTCTACAAAGCTTCTGGAAAATTTCTTCCAGCATTTTGGTAATTCTCAGTAGGAAGGTTGTTCAAGGGTTCTAATCTGCCACACTGCAAGAAACAGAAGATGCTATATGTCCTTCTGCCAACATGTGTTTTTCTTTGTTTTGTTTTTTTGAGACAGAGTCTCACTCTTTCACCCAGGCTGGAGCGTGGTGGCACAATCTTGGCTCACTGCAACCTCTGCCTCCTGGCTTCAAGGGATTCTCCTGCCTCAGCCTCCCTAGTAGCTAGGACTACAGATGCACGCCACCAGGCCTGGCTAATTTTTGTATTTTTAGTAAAGACGGGGTTTCACCATGTTGGCCAGGATGGTCTTGATCTCTTGACCTCATGATCCGCTTGCCTCGGCTTCCCAAAGTGCTGGGATTACAGGCCACGTGTTTTTGCAACATAAATTAGCTCATGATGATTGATAATAGGAGAATGATGTCATTATAATGCAGAAGTTCCTATACAATTTTCCCTAGCATGTTAATGATTTGGACTACCAGTAAGCCTCAGTGTGTACATGAATCCTATTCATCCCACATTCTTCAAATTAGACTTAATCTGAACTTGCAATAAATCTGTAAACTATGAAGGAAAGAGATAAGCCAGTGGTTGTAGTTCAGTGTGGATAGTCCTGTGCTAAGGGAAAGCAGAGAACACTAGGACAATTCAGGGGAGGTGATGAGATAGACATGATGGGTAGGGTGACCAGAAAAGGCTTCCAAAGGAGATTGTATTGAGTTGTGTTTTGAAAGGTGCTAGCTAGATTAAGAAGCTGGGAAAGGCATTCCTGGCAAAGGGAACAGAGTCGATAATACATACTGGTTCACGTGAGTGAATGCTAAGAAGAAATGTGGCTGGAGATTTTTTTTTTTTTTTTTTTTTTGAGACGGAGTCTTGCTCTGTTGCCTAGGCTGGAGTGCAGTGGCTGGATCTCGGCTCACTGCAAGCCTCGCCTCCTGGGTTTACGCCATTCTCCTGCCTCAGCCTCCCAAGTAGCTGGGACTACAGGCGCCCACCACCTCACCTGGCTAGTTTTTTGTATTTTTTAGTAGAGACGGGGTTTCACTGTGTTAGCCAGGATGGTCTCGATCTCCTGACCTCGTGATCCGCCCGTCTCAGCCTCCCAAAGTGCTGGGATTACAGGCTTGAGCCACCGCGCCCGGGCTGGCTGGAGATATTTTCAGGAACCACGTCATGGTGAAACCATATGCTAAACTAAGGCGTTTGGATTTGACACCTGGGCTATGCTTGATGTTCCTGGATTATGCTAAAGGCATAAAAATATTTTTGAATATATGAATTATTGACTTTGTTATAAAAGATCTGGAGAATCACTAAATCATTTTAAGAGGGCAGTTAACATGATCTGATTCATGTTTTAGAAAAATTACTCTAGCAACAGTAGGGGGATGGATTACATAGGGACCAGATTGAAAGTGGGAAACTTAGGGGTAGTTTTGCAGTAATAATCAAAGAATGAGAACGAAAACAAAGCTCAGAGTGTAAATGGTGAAGGGAAGATGAACTAAGTTATTAATGAAAAGGAGTCTGTACAACAAATTGAGAATGGTGGATGAAATCTTGGATGACTCTAATGCCATCTACTCAATCACTTTTAGATCATAGTTTTCTAATAATAGCCAGAAAGAATTAACACAGATTCTCCAGCCATGCACGGTGGCTCACGCCTGTAATCCCAGCACTTTGGGAGGCCAAGGGAGGTATATTGCTTGAACCTAGGAATTTGAGACCAACCAGGGCAACATGGCAAAACGCCATCTCTACAAAAAGTACAAAAATTAACCAGGCATGGTGGCATGCACCTGTAGTCTCAGTTATTCGGGAGGCAGAGGTGGGAGGATCACCTGAGCCTGGGAGGTCGAGGCTGTGGTGAGCCATGATTGCATCACTGCACTCCAGCCTGGGGAATGGAGTGAGACCCTGTCTCAAACAACAGAACAAAACAAAACAAAACAAAACCAAAACAAACAAACAAAAAAAACCCCAGATACTCATTTTATGATAAAATATGGCCTGTAACATTTGTGTTACATTCCCAATTTGCTTAAAGCTAATATTTTCTTTTAACTAATGTTGTAAAGAGCCTGAGCATAAAATAATTAGCAGAGTCACTTTTTTTATGTGTAGAAACTGACAAAGTGATTCTAAAATTGATGTGGACATGCAAGGTCCTAAACTAGTCAAAAAACTGAAAAAGAACAAAGTTGGAGGACTAACACTTCCTGGTTTCGAGACTTAACCATAAAGCTGTAGCAATCAATAAAATATACTCCTGGGCTGGATGCAATGTTTCACACCTGTAATCCCAGCACTTTGGGAGGCCAAGGTGGGCAGATCAACGGAGGGCAGCAGTTCATGACCAGCCTAGCCAACCCCCCGTCTATACTAAAAAGACAAAAATTAGTCAGGTGTGGTGGTGAGTGCCTGTAATCCTAGCTATTCAGGAGGCTGACGCAGGAGAATCGCTTGAACATGGGAGGTAGAGGTTGCAGTGAGCCGAGATTGTACCACTGCACTCCAGCCTGGGCTAAAGAGTGAGACTCCATCTCAAAAAAAGAAAATACATTCTTGGCATTCAGATAGATCTATAGATCAATGGAACTCTCAATAGAGAGTTCAGAGATAAGCCCACAAGTACACCATCAACAGATTTTCAACAAAGGTGACAAGGTAATTCAATGAGAAAAGGAAAACCTTTTCAACAAATGGAACAATTAGATATAGACATATGCTTAAAAAAAAAAAAAAACGCCCCCCAAATCCTGATCGAAGTTCTGTTTCCCATTGGTGAGGAATGCCTGCCCTCAATACCACAGGATAGCCAAATACATAACACCTGACACTAGACAGAGATGAGATTGATAACAGTTTATTAGTCACATATATTCACAGCCTATGGGATAGAGGATAGATATGCTACGCTATGCAGGGCCACAAGGGGTTACTCTCAGGAATAGAATGAACTTGTAGAGGGTATGGGAGGCAGGCTTTGTAGTGACAAGAAGATGAGGTGCCTCCTGGTTCCCCTGGGAATATGTGATTGGCTTGTCTGAAAAATTCCATGGGCTGGCAGGGAAGTGAAACCCATCAGTTTGAGGACTGGGTGGAGTACAGCTGCTCCGGCTGATAGAGGAACTGGCCAGATGGAGACTCTTTCTCTCTGGATGGGGGACATACTCTGGCCAAGAAACTGATGGCTAGGCTTTTTTGGGGCTTCTGTGAGGCTGAAAGATGTCAAGTCCATACATGAAATTTTAGACCTTGCAATAAATTTATCTCACGCCATATATAAACTCAAATTGTTTGCTAGATATCTGTGATTATGAAATATCTATTAATTTACTAATGTATATAGGTACATTTTTATAATTTTCCCCTCAAAGATCTTGCACATTTTTCTTAGATTTATTCCGAGGTACTTCATATTTTTAGATGCTATTAATAAATGCTATCTTTTTTAAAAAATTAATTTTCTACTTATTTGTCACTGGTATTTTAAATTATAATATTTTTATATATTGACCTTATATCTAGCAATCTTGCTAAAATTTATCATTCATTTTTATACTTTAGTTGAAGATTTAAACATTTTCTCTCTCTCTGTTTTTCTTGTCCAGGTTGGAGTGCCGGAGTGCAGTAGCACGATCTCCTCTCACTGCAGCCTCAACCTCCTGGGCTCAAGTAATCCTCCTGTCTTGTCCTCCCAAAATGCTGGGATTACAGGTAAGCCACCACACCCAGCCAAAATGACATTTTTGTTCACAAAGACTGATTTATGTACATTTCATTTATATGTTGAATTTTGTTAAGAAGAAATTGGAACAAATCCACCAGTCTCTACAAAGAGAACATCAAGAACCTGTGTAACAGGCCGGGCGCGGTGGCTCGAGCCTATAATCCCAGCACTTTGGGAGGCCGAGGCGGGCAGATCACGAGGTCAGGAGATCAAGACCATCCTGGCTAACACAGTGAAACCTCGTCTCTACTAAAAATAAAAAAAAAAAAAAAAAAAAAGTTAGCTGGGCGTGGCGGCGGGCGCCTGTAGTCCCAGCTACTTGGGAGGCTGAGGCAGGAGAATGGCGTGAACCCGGGAGGCGGAGCTTGCAGTGAGCCGAGATCACGCCACTGCACTCCAGCCTGGGCGACAGAGCGAGACTCTGTTTCAAAAAAAAAAAAAAAAGAACCTGTGTAACAGTCTAAAAAAATCTAAGTGAGGTTAAAAAAAGAAATTATAATCCTTTACTTCATAATTGTGGCTAATTACAAATCAGCTTTTACCTTGGAAGTATTTTGTTTCAATATATGAAAATGTATAGATTCATGGCCAGATGTGGTGGCTCATGCCTATAATCCCAGCACTTTGGGAGACCAAAACTGGAGGATGACCTGAGGCCAGGAGTTCAAGACCAGCCTGGGCAACATAGTGAGACTCAGTTTCTATGAAAAATAAAAAAATTTAGCTGGATGTGGTGGTGTGTGCCTATAGTCCCAGTTACATGGGAGGCTGAGGTGGGAGGATTGCTTGAGCCCAGGAGTTGGAGGCTGCAGTGAGCTATGGTCGCGCCACTGCACTCTAGCCTGGGTGACAGAGCATGACCTCATTTCTTTAAAAAAAAAGTCATGTTGTAAAAATTATCAAATTATGCACAAAAGTATTATGAACACATCACAAAAATTTGAGGAGGAAAAATCACTCATTTAACATCATAGCTGATTTTTATTGAATGTATTAAAATTTAAACAATCTATGTATGTTATGTGCTTTTAAAAATCACCATGAGACTAGGCCAGGTGCGGTGGCTCATACCTATAATCCCAGCACTTTGGGAGTCCGAAGCAGACAGATTACCAGAGGTCAGGAGTTCAAGACCTGTCTGGCCAACACGGTGAAACTCTGTCTTTACTAAAAAATACATAAATTAGCCAGGCATCATGATGCACACCTGTAATCCCAGCTACTAGGGAGACTGAGGCAGGAGAATTGCTTGAATTTGGGAGGTGTAGGTTGCAGTGAACTGAGATTATGTCACTGCACTCCAGCCTGGGCGACAGAGCAAAACCTTATCTAAAAAAAAAAAAAAAAAAAAAAAAAATCACCTTGGGACTATACATATTTTTTATTTACAAATATGTTTGTAGTTCACCTTTTAAGGAGTTCTTTAGAGTATATAGTACATTATTTTAAATATATTCAATTCTGTTCATGGAATTTAATGTTTTTGATCTAGAGAAATGTTATTAATAGGTAAGTCTGGTGAATAAAGTGTACACTATGAATTTAAGCATGGGAGGTAACCCAAGATTAAACTATACATCATAGTATTATTTTTAATAGCAAAAATCGGAAGCTATCCAAATTTTTAAATGAGACAGAAATTATATTATAGCCATGCTGGAACACAATACAGCCTTTAAAAATTATCATTACAAGCTGGGCGCAGTGGCTCATGCCTGTAATCCCAGCACTTTGGAAGGCCAAGGTGGGCAGATCATGAGGTCAGGAGTTCGAGATTAGCTTGGCTAACATAGTGAAATCACGTCTCTACTAAAGATACAAAAAATGAGCTGGTCGTGGTGGTGCGTGCCTGTAATCCCAGCTACTTGGGAGTCTGAGGTAGAAGAATCGCTTGAACCTGGGAGGCGGAGGTTACAGTAAGCTGAGATTGCATCATTGCACTCTAACCTGGGTGACTGGGCAACGCTCCATCTCAAAAAAAAAAAAAAAATTGTCATTACAAAATCTGTACAGGAATTTACAGAGAAGTGTTCCTGTATAATGTTAAATTTAAAAAGCCAGACAGAAACTTGTACATGTATTAGTATTATGACTATGTAAAAATGTATATGAATAAAAAATACTGCAAAGAAATATAACAATACGCTTATATCTCTTGGATGTTAGGTTGAACCATATGAAACCGCATGTTTATAAGTAAAAACAATCAAATATTACCAGTTTTGTTTGGTTCAACCTAAGGAAAGAAATACACACACACACACACACACACACACACACACGGAAATACACATAGATATTGTTTGCTAATTTTCTTTAAAACATTAATAGAAAATAGCAAAATGTCATGAGAGTACATTTGCTCTTTGTTTTATTACTAACAGAAGTTTTATTTCAGTCTCATAATGAAGACCTGGAAAAAGACAAAACATCACAAAACTACCTAGGAAAAGGTATGGAACAAGTAGCAAAGAAGTTAGGGGTGGCCCATGAAGAGATTCAAAGACTCACTGATGAACTACAAGTGAAGGAGAAAGAACAGTGTAAATTAGGTAAGCTGTGGTTTCAGATGACCATTTCTGATCATGCTTTAACTGTACTGATCTCATCTCAGGGTGGAACATGAGAAAAAAAACACTGAGAAAAAAGTCTTTAAGATAAACACATAGAAGTGATGAACAGCCTCATTTTCTACCATGCTAGGAATTTTTGTCAAAGCCCAAACATATCTACCAAAAGTTCACAACTCATAAGTGTTTACCACTCACCACAAGAAATTCCCAGCCTCTTAGAAGCCCGCTGTGTTCCTTCTCTCTGTCTCTACATCTTTCCTCCTCCTTCAGAGTAACTACTGTCCTGACTTTGAATGCAGTTTCTGTGTTTGACTACATGCAGTATGCCTTCTATGGTTTGCTTCTCCTGCTCAGTCTTACAAGATTCATTCATTTTGTTATATGTAGCAGTTGTTTGTTCACTCTGCTGTTTATAATATTTCATTAATAAACATACTACAATCTATCCGTTCTACTGATGGACAATTGTGTTGTCAGTTTTTGTCTATTATAAATATTGCTGCTATAAACATTTTGGTATATGTCTCAGTGTGCTTATTACACATTTCTGATTGTGGTAAGAGTAGAATTACTGAATCCAAGGGTTATGGGCAGATTCTACTTTGGTCTTCCAAGGTAGTTATACTAATTTAAGCTTTCTTCAATTGTATGTGAGATTTTAGTTCCTCCACCTTGGTTTTCAATACTTGGTACTATTGGTCTTATTCACTTCACCTTTTATGTTGAGTGCATAGTGGTATTTAAGTGTTGCTTTAATTGGTATTCCCTGACTGCTAATTAAGTTGAAAATCTTTTCGTATGTTTGTTGTTGTTGTTGTTACTCATTTGGATATACAACTTTGTGAAGTTCCTGCTCAAGTCTCTTGTATATTTTTCCTATTTTATTTATTTGTGGGAGTTCTTTATATATTGTGGATATCAGCCTTTTGTTGGTTATAAATGTTATGTTGTTGTTGTTATTTTTTTTACTATAAATGCTAATATTGATCAAGTTGGGTTTAAGTGAATTATTCTTTATGCCTTCTGAGTTTTCATGTTTAAAACCTTTTCTTCACTACAAGATTATTGAAGATATTTACCCTGGTTTTGGGGGGGGGTACTTTTATTGTTTATATTTACATCTTTGCTTTATCTAGAATTTAGTATAAAATTTTTAAATTATAATTATCTCCTTTCTATATTTTTAATCCGTGACTGATTCTTTTACAAATACAATATATAGGTTACTTCAGAATCGTAAACATTAAAAATGTTAAATGTATAAAACAACAATGATTACGCCAAACTGTGTGATTAATAACAAATAATAAAAAAACAGAATATCAGGATGTAAATTTTTTATAAATACATTTTAAACAGTGGACACAAATAACTTTTCAGAATGATGGAAATGTTCCATATCCTGTTTGGGTTGGTGGATATACAATTGTACATATTTGTCAGAATTCATCAAACTATACACTTAAAAGGGTGAATTTTACTGTATGCAATTTATCAGTAAACACAATTTAAAAAGAAAATAAATTTGGCCACATGAGCGTGATGAGAAGCAATATTTGCTGCTTGCAATACAAGAGGAAAAAGGAAAAGCAGGATATTCAGCACCCATAGTGGTTATATTTGGACACAACACAACACAATCACATAGCAATCTCTTCTATCAGCAGTTGCTCTATAGGGTAAATCCCAAACGTATCAATTGAAAGCCATCTCTACAGTGAGTCTGTTAGGACTTTTGGGAAGCTGAATTAGCAAGTCCTTTTGGAATGTTACGTGCAGTATCAATGTGTGCACCATCTGTAACTTCCTGAGTCATCCACTTACAGCAGAATTTGTAGCTAGGCATGTGTAATATGACAGTGTTTCCCAAGTATTAGCTTGTTTCTTTCAACAAACTCTTTTTAAAATAAATCCCTTTAGCTCTCTTTAGTTTATTCTTTAGCTCACTATCACATCATAAAATTTGGATGAAAATGAAAAATTTTTTCAATGATAATTTTTTCAAGAATGAAAAAGAATTCATATAAAATATTTATTCCTTGACAAATGAATATCAAGAAAAAAGATGAATTTTTAAAGATTTAAGAGACTTATTAACCAATTATGATGTGTGGCCTTTATTGAATTCTGATTCAAATTTTTAACATTTATAAAACAATTTGAAATTTGAACACTTGCTAGACATATGAATTAAAGAATTGTTAAATTTTTGTTAAATTATTTTTTTGTTTAAAAATAGTTCTTATTTTTTAGAGATATATAGTGAAACATTCATAAGTGAATGAAATGATGTCTAGGATTTGCTTCAAAATAATACAGGTCTCTACAGCTACACAAAAATTAATTCAAAATGGATTGCAGAGCTAAATGTAAGTTAAAACTATAAAACTATTAGAAGAAAACAAGGAATACATCTTCATGATCTTGGGTTAAGCAGTGATACATTAAATATGACACCAAAAGCAAAAGTGAAGAGAAAAACTAATACATTGGACTAAATCAAAATTTAAAACCTTTACACTTTAAAACATACCATCAGAAAGTGAAAAGACAACTCACAGACTAGAAGAAAATATTTGTGAATCGTGTTTGATATGGATCTTATATCCAGAATATGTAACAAATTCTTACAATTTAATAATTAAAAGATAGCCCAATTTAAAAATGAGCAAAGGGGCTGGGCGTCGTGACATGTGCCTGTAGTCCTAGCTACTTGGGAGGCTGAGGTGGAAGGATGGCTTGAGCCCAGGAGTTTAAGGCTGCAGTGGGCGATGATTGTTACTGCTTTCCAGCCTGGGTGACAGAGTGAGACCCTGTCTTAAAGAAAAAAAACGGGCAAAGGATTTGAAAAGACATTTCCAGGAAGAAGATATGTGAATGACCAACAGGCACATGAAAAGATGCTCAGCACCTCCCATCACAAAAATTGATAGGTATGTGACATGGTAGATGTGTTAATGAACTTGATTTAATCACCCCACAATATAAACATATGTCAAAACATTACATTGTACCCCATAAACGTATATAATTATTATTTGTCGATTAAAAAAATGATGTTCGATACCATTAGTTATTAGGGAAGTGCAAAGCAAAACCACAATGAGAGTCTACTTCATACCCACTAGAATGGCTGTGCTAAACAAGACAGACAGTGACAATTGTTGGCAAGGATGTGGAAACATTAAAACCCTTATACATTGCTGGTAAGAAGGTAAGATAGTGAAGATACTTTGGAAAACATTTAACAGTTTCTCAAAATATTAAACACAACCCAGAAATTCCATTCCTAGCTATCTACCCAGGAGAAACACAGACTTGTATGTAAATGTTCATAGCACTATTAGTTACAATAGCCAAGAGTTAGAAATAACCAAAATGTCTGTCAATTGGTGAACTGATAAACAAAATGCAGTATATCCATACTGGGCAGAAAGTAGCTAACAGCACATCCAACACTGCTGCTATCCTTAGAGAAAGGACTGCTATAACAGTCACAAGCATCTGGTTGACATCTGAGAACTTGGATTTTGGGAGGGTTTCCACCATTCCTTAACCAATAGTGGCTCACTGTACCTAAGCTGTTTATACAATGTGGTCCATGCAGAATACCTGCTTTCCTTTAAGAGTCTTGGTATATGCTAGGCAGAAAGTGTGTGTGTGACCAGCCCTCAACAAAACCTTAGGTGCTGAGTCTTTCATGAGCTTCCCAGGTAGACAACATTTTACATGTATTGTCACAGTTTACTGCTGGAGACATATCCTGTGTGACTCCACTGGGAGCAGACTCTTGGAAGCTTGTTCCTGGTTTCTTCTGGCCTTTGCCCTGTGCATCCTTTCCCTTTGCTTCATCTTTTTGATTTTGCTTCATCTTTTTGCTGTAGGAAATCTTAGCTTTGAGTATGAACATATGTTGAGTCTTGTGAGTCCTCTTAGCATATCACCAAATCTGGGGGTGATCTTGAGGACTCCTGGTACTCATATGATATAATACTATCTGCCAGTAAAAAGGAAGGAAGTACTTATACCTGCTACATGGATGAATCTCAAAAACAAGCTAAGTGAAAGAAGTCAGATACAAAAGATCATGTATTGTGTGATTCCATTGAGATGAAATGCACATAAAAGGCAATCCTATAGAGATAGGAAGTAGATTGGCATAGCTGGGCACAGTAACACATGCCTATGTCCCCAACTACTTGCCACTTGGGAGGCTGAGGCAGAAGAATCACCTAGCCTATGAGTTTGAGTCCAACCTGAGCAACATAGTGATACCCTGTCTCAAAAAAAAAAAAAAAAGGAAAGTAGATTAGTGGTTGTCTAGGGCTAGGGATGAGAATTGGGACTAAGTGGGTATGATTTTCTTAATAGGGTGATGGAAATGTTCTAAAATTAGATTGTGATAGTGGCATACCTGTAGATATACTAAAAACCATTGAATTGTCCACTTGAAATAAGTAATTTTTAAGGTATGTAAACTGTACCTCAATAAAGCTGTTAAAAATATAAGAACTGGGGGAAATAAGTATATTAGGTGAAAATCTAAGGTGGCTTCCAAGAGCCCCACCCCCGGTATATACACATTTTTTCCCAGTGATTCAACAAAATACAATCTAGATGCTGCTGTGAAGAGATTTTGTAAGTGTAGTTATGGTCCCAAACCAACTGACTTTAAAGAAGGGAGATTTTCTTGCATGAGCCTGATCTAATCAGGTGAGCTCTTGAAAGAGTCAGGACATTTCGTGGCAAAAAAGATTTGAAGTGCAAGAGGGATTTAACATGAGGGAGACTCTTCATTAATGACTTAAAAAAAGAAATAATGACTTTGAAGATGGAGAAGATCACGTGACAAAGAATGCAGGCAGCCTCCAAGAGCCAAGAGAGACCTCCAACTGACAGTCAGCAAGGAGATGGGGACCTCAGTGTTACACCCTCAAGGACTGAATTCAGCTAACAAGCTGAATCAGATTGGAAATGAATTCTTCTCCAGAGCCTTCAGAGAGAAACATAGCCTGGCCAACAGCCTGATTTCAGCCTTGTAAGACTTTGATCACAGAACTCAGGCACACCATGCCCAGACTCCTGACCTAGAGAACTGTGAACTAGTAGATGGATGCTGTTGTAAGCCACTAAGTTTGTGGTAATTTGTTATACAACATTAGAAAATTAATATAATAGGTAAGGGTATAAGTGAAACAAGATTGACCGTGAGTTGGTGATTGTTAAAAACTGGGTGATGGATGTAGGTATTACCATAACTCTGTTCTAGCTACTTTTGTATATATATGAAATTTTCCATCAGTAAAGAAGTTTTTTTTTAATCTATGCTAACCAGACTTAGAAAGAGACTTAGAAATAGACTAAGAAAGTAAAACTGTTAATCTGATAGAGAGATCTCAAGAAAAGTTACAACCAATACAATTTTAGAAATATTACTGGTTTAAGAGGACTATTGGAAAGCTACAACTAGCTACAATTTTCTTTTTTTTTTCTTTCTTTCTTTTTTTAGAGATAGGGTTTCACTCTGTTGCCCAAATTGGAGTACAGTGGCATGATCATCACTCACTCACTGAGTTCCTGGGTTCAAGTGATCCTCCTGCCTCAGTCTCATGAGTAGCTAGGACTGTAGGCGTGTAGTGCCACAGTTGGCTAATTTTTAAATCTTTTGTAGAGAAGGGGGTTTTACTTGCCCAGGCTGGTCTCAAACTCCTGACCTCAAGCAATCCTTATGCCTCAGCCTCCCAAGTGTTGTATAGGTGTGAACCACTGTGCCCAACCCCAGAAAGCTATAGTTTTCAAGTATCTTCACAAACATGGCAGAAACTAACCTGACGATACAAGTTAATAAATTTGGTAGTCCGATATTATTTAAATTTGGAGCAATATACTTCACTATGTGTGCTATTCCAAAAATAGTTTTTTTTTTCAAATAGCAATTAAGTCAAATGTTTTCAGAACACCTGAAGTACCTCTTCAGAACTCTGAGGTTCACAGAATACAGTTTGGAAGCCCCTGTTCACGTAATAAATTCTGAGCTCTCTTGTGTAGCAAATAAGGTCTTTCTGGTTTGGCCTCTGCCTATGTATTCAACTCATATCCCACACTTCCCTAATTCCCTGCACTACAGACTGGGCAGTATTAGACTATATGTAGTTCCTGAACTACTCAGTGTTCCCTCCTATGTCGTCTCCTTTGTTCTGTGCTACCTCCTGTATTGCTCGTGTTATTCCCTCTTTGTAGAATATCCTTTCCATCTGCCCTCACTTTACTTTCTCTCCTTCTTCCATAGAGGAATACATTTGGAAAACTGTTCTTTTAGTAAAACAGAAGCTATTTTTACATCTCTGGCTCAGTGTAAACAGACCTAGGTTCACATCCCAGTCATACCGTTTACTAGTTGTGTAATGTTAAGCAAGTTGCTTAACTTTTCTGAGTCTTGTTTATCTTATCTATAAAATGGAAGCATGAGTATCTACTTTGCAGCTTTGTTATGATGATACATATATCTGGCACTGCTAGTTGCTGCTATGGTAACAGTAGTAGTAATAGTATTGCTATAGTTAGGAATACAGTTTTAGGTGAATCTGGTAGGTTATCCTGGGATTTAGTCTAAAGAACTGAGTGTTAACAGATGTAATAATAAAACCTTCACAATTGTGCTGATGAACTCACTCTGTGGTTAGAAGTGACCTGTTATAAAATTCATGTTAGTCTCTTACTTCTGGGAGGTTCTTCATTCTGATAATATAGGAGATCCACCAGCAATATTGCTGGTGATGAGGAGACCACAGGAGACAAAGGGATAAAACCTGAAGTAGAGAACCCAAATCCAATAGACTCCAATGCGTCATGTCTTCCTAAATATCATTGTGCCATCCTTATACAATTCTCGCATAGTATCAAAAGCTATTTCCTGAAATTTTGTTATTTTGATATTTCTACCAGCTATTGGCAAAATTCTAAATATGACTGATTGCAGGAATTATTTTTACGTTTTTCTGGGTGTAGTTTCTTTTCACTAAACTGGTAGTACCATGCCTAAAAACTTTCGGCTTTTCCCATTGTTTACAGTGGTTTAAATTCCTCTTAATCATGAAATCTGATGGAGGAAACTATTAGGGAAAGACAATTACGAGATCAGATAAGCAGGGATAGGGCTAAATATAGGGTGCAGTAGGAACTCTAAGAGGGAAGTCTGGGAAAATTCCCTGAGGAGCTGACATTTAAGCAGAAACTCCAGGGCAGTAGCCAGGTGAAAGAAAGTGTTCCAGAGAGAGAGAGTCATTGGAAATTTGATTATTATACGAATCATTTGTTCCTTATACAAATATTTTGTTTCTTTTTTTAGATTCTGCGCTTAAGAAGGCTCAACTAGAAATTGACAAATTGAAGGAAAATTTGGTAAAGCAGAAAGAAAATGGTAAGTCATTCTAGAAGATATAATAATTATTATTTAGTAGCCAAGAACGGTGGTACATGCCTGCAGTCCCAAAGACTTGGGAGGCTTGGGCCCAGGAATTGGAGGTTGCAGTGAGCCATGTCTGTGCCACTGCATTCCAGCCTGGGCAATAATGCAAGACTCCATCTCAAAAGAATAAATTTTTTTAAAAATTATTATTTAATAATAATACATTAAGAAATAATATAATATACATTAATAATAGGTTTTAAAATAATAATATTTTGGAATTAAAATAATGAGTACTACTACTGTTATTGCTGTTGCTACTACTGTTATTATTACTTCCACTACTACTACCATTTAATACTGACAGGTACTAAGTGCTTACTAAGTGACAGGTACTCTGCCAGGCACTTCACATGCTTTATCTCTAATCCTCACAACAGTCTGTGGCCATACTACCCTGAATACACATATCTCATCTAATCCTCATAGCAGTTCCAAGTAGTGAGTAGTAGTATCCCCTTTTCTTAGATAAGCAAACTGAGTCATGGCAAAGTTAAGTGAGTTATCCAATAGCTACAATAAGTATCCAAGCTGGTATTTGAATCTTTGTATGTCTGACTCCCAAACCTGTGATCAACACAAATCATGCATCTTTTACTGGGACCACTGATACCAATATACTTTATAATGCATTTAACAATACTTTATACATATTTGTTCACTGGGAAGCCAGTAAGCTTGAATCAGTGGTGAATTAATCTGACCCTAGCTTGCCTATATAAAAATGCTACCAGTTAGCAATAATATAATGAAATTTGAATATTTGAATGGTAACAGCTAAAAAATTTTTAAATATGTTTACCAGTTTTTAAATAATTCTACAACTAGGCATCCCTCCTTTTAAAAATGTATGAATACAATTATAAAATGAATACTGCTTTTTTAGTAATTAATAGAACAAGTAAACAGAAATAAATCAGTAGGGATATAAAAGCCCTAAAAATACTAGCAATCAAAATGACCTAATTGATATTTATAGAAACAGAACACACATTCTTTTCATATACCCATGAAACATTCACCAAGAGAGACCATCCTGGTGGAACTGGAGGTCATTATGCTAACAGAAATAAGCCAGGCACAGAAAGACAAACATTGCATGCTCTCACTTATATGTGGAATCTAAAAATCAAAACAGTTGAACTCACTGACATAGAGAGCAGAAAGATTGTTACCAGAGGCTGGGAAGGAGAGTAGAGGGGCAGTTTCAGCGGGAGGCAGGGAATGGCTAATGGGTAAAAAAGGAAAGAGTTAATAAAATCTAGTATTTGATAGCACAACAGGGTGACTACAGTCAATAATAATTTAATTGTACATTTTAAAATAACTTAAAGAGTATAATTGGATTGTTTGTAACACAAAGGATAAATACTTGAGGGGATGGATAACCCATTTTCCATGACATGATTATTACGCATTGCATGCCTGTATCAAAACATCTCATGTAGCCTTTGGCTCTGTGAGCAGCACCATGGCTGTTGGCAAGAACAAGCACCTTATGAAAGGTAGCAAAAAGGGAGCCAAAAATAAAGTGGTTGATCCATTTTCTAAGAAAGATTGGTGTGATGTAAAAGCACTCGCTATGTTCAATATAAGAAATATTGGAGAGACGCTAGTCACCAGGACTCAAGGAACCAAAACTGCATCTAATAGCCTCAGGGGTCGTGTGTTTGAAGTGAGTCTTGCTGATCTGCAGAATGATGAAGTTGCATTTAGAAAATTCAAGCTGATGCTGAAGATGTTCAGGACAAAAACTGACTAACTTCCAGGGCATAGATTTACCCGTGACAAAATGTGTTCCATTGTCAAAAAATGGCAGACCATGATTGAACCTCACGCTGATGTCAAGACTACCGATGATTATTTGTTTCATCTATTCTGTGTTGATTTTACTAAAAAGCACAACAATCTGACACAGAAGGCCTCTCATGCTCAGCACCAACAGGTCTGCAAAATCCAGAAGAAGATGATGGAAATTATGACCTGAAAGGTGCGAATGACTTGAAAGAAGTGGTCAATAGATTGATTCCAGACAGCACTGGAAAAGAGAAAAGCTTTGCCAATCTAGTTATCTTCTCCATGATGTCTTTATTAGAAAAGTAAAAATGCTGAAGATACCCAAGTTTGGTTGGGGAAAATTCATTAAGGTAATTGTTCTGGAAAAGCTACTGGGGATGAGACAGGTCCTAAAGTCGAATTAGCTGATGGATATGAAGCACTGGTCCAAGAATCTATTTAAAGTTCAAAATTTAAAAAAGAGAGGCCATCCTGGGCCATAAAGTAAATCTCTGTGAAAAAAATGAAATACAAATTATGTTCTCTGATTATAATGGAATTAAACTAAAAATTGGTAACAGAAGTAGGTTAGTTGGAAATATTTGGAAATTAAAAAGATTTTTTTTTTTTTTTGAGATGGATTCTCATGTTGTTGCCCAGGCTGGAGTATAGTGGCATGATCTCGGCTCACTGCAACCTCTGCCTCCCAGGTTCAAGCAGTTCTCTGCCTCAGCCTCCCGAGTAGCTGGGATTACAGGAACCTGCCACCACACCCAGCTAATTTTTGTATTTTTAGTAGAGACGGGGTTTCACCATGTTGGCCAGGCTGATCTTGAACTCCTGACCTCGTGATCCACCCGCCTCAGCCTCCCTAAGTGCTGGGATTACAGGCGTGAGCCACTACACCTGGCCTAAAAAGATATTTATAAAAAGACTATGCCTTCAGAGAAAAAAATTAAGAGAGATATTAGAAAATATTTTGAATTAAAGAAAATGAAAATGCAACAGTATCTTCATTTCTGTGACATAGCTAAATCAGTACTTAGAGGGAATTTTATAGTATTTAATGCTTATATTAGAAATCAAGAAAGGATTCAAAATAATCTGAGTCTATACCTCAGAAACCCAGAATAAGGTGAGCAGAATAAAAATTAAAAAAATAATTAAATATAATAAGAATAAGAAGAATAAGAATAGAATAAGAAGAGAAAATTAAATCCAAGGCATGCAGAAGGAAGGAGATATTAAAATAAGAGCTAAAATCAACAAAAGTGGCTGGGCACGGTGGCTCACGCCTGTAATCCCAGCACTTTGGGAGGCTGAAGCAGGTGGATCACAAGGTCAAGAGATCAAGACCATCCTGGCCAACATGGTGAAACCCCGTCTCTACTAAAAATACAAAAATTAGCTGGGCGTGGTGGCGCACACTTGTAATTCCAGCTAACTCAGGAGGCTGAGGCAGGAGAGTTGCTTGAACCTGGGAGGCAGAAGTTGCAGTGACCCAAGATAGTGCCACTGCACTCCAGTCTGGTGACAGATCGAGACTCCATCTCAAAAAAGAAAACAAAAAATCAACAAAACTAAAAACAGAACCACAATAGAGTAAATCAGTGGAACCATGAGCTGCATCTTCAGAGAGAACAACATTGACAAACTTCTAACTAGATTGGTCATGAAAAAAGAGAGAACTCACAAATTACCAATATAAAAAATAACAGAATATTTCTACAGAATAAAAAGATAATATGGGAATATTATGAAAAACTTTATGCCAATAAATTGACGACCTGGATGACGTGGACACATTCCTTAAAAGACACAAACCACCAAACCTCACCTGAGAAGAAATAGCTCTAAATCTATGTAAAGAGACAGAATTTTTAGTTAAAAACCTTCCCATGGGCCAGACATTGTGGCTCATGCCTGTAATCCCAGCACTTTGGGAGGCCGAGGGGGTGAATCACTTGAGGTCAAGAGTTCAAGACCAGCCTGGCGAGCATGGTGAAACCCTGTATCTACTAAAAATACAAAAAAAAAAATTAGCCAGGTGTGGTGGCCTATGCCTGTAATCCCAGCTACTCAGGAGGCTGAGGCAAGAGAATCACTTGAACCCAGGAGGCGGAGGCTGCAGTGAGATTGCACCACTGCACTCGAGTCTGGGCAACAGAGCAAGACGGACTCAAATGAAAAATAAAAATAAAAATAAAAATCTTCCCGTCGGGAGGCGGAGCTTGCAGTGAGCTGAGATCCGGCCACTGCACTCCAGCCTGGGCTACAGAGCGAGACTCCGTCTCAAAAAAAAAAAAAAAAAAATCTTCCCATGAGGAAGACTCCAGGCTCAGATGGCTTCATTAGTGAATTCTAGTAAGAGGAATTATTTAAGGAATAAATAATACTAAATTTATATAATTTCTTCCAGAAAATGGAAGAAGAGAGAATACTTCCCACTTTTTTAAGTGGCCAGTTAACAAAGAAGTACAGAGAATAAGAAATAACGCCAGGCGCGGTGGCTCAAGCCTGTAATCCCAGCACTTTGGGAGGCCGAGACGGGTGGATCACGAGGTCAGGAGATCGAGACCATCCTGGCTAACACGGTGAAACCCCGTCTCTACTAAAAAATACAAAAAAACTAGCCGGGCAAGGTGGTGGGCGCCTGTAGTCCCAGCTACTAGGGAGGCTGAGGCAGGAGAATGGCGGAAACCCGGGAGGCGGAGCTTGTAGTGAGCTGAGATCCGGCCACTGCACTCCAGCCTGGGCTACAGAGCGAGACTCTGTCTCAAAAAAAAAAAAAAAGAAATAACTTGTTGGGTAGTAAAATTAAATGCAGTATGTTTACCAATAATAGATTGTTAAATAAGTGACTATACAAAGCATACTTTGCAGATATTAAAGATGACATGGAGCCAAGTGTGCACTGACATGAATAGATTTCTGTGATATATTATCAAGTGAATAAGGTAAGTTGTAGAGTAAGATGTGTGGTATAATGTCATTTGGGTTTTTTATTTGTGGAGTTTGTGTGTGTGTACCCACAGGACTACTGTGAGCTGGTATATACTAGTATGGCAGTAAAGTTGTGAAGGTACTGGAATAATTCTGTGTTGACTTATAACTAGCTGTTGTCCTGAGTCTTCTAAACATTCCTACCTGCCCTAATTGTCTTAGCTCCTTCCAGCCCCATGTCTTCCCAGCCACTAAAGAGATAATATTTAGCACAGCAAAATGTTCTCTAGAACTCTACTTCAGAGCTACATTCTTATAGATGAGGGTGCATGCTTAACCAGTTGTTAAATATTTTTAACACAACTTTGTTTGTATATTACTATAAATATATATATATATTTCTGAAAATATTTACTATGTGTTAAAAATATTATTTTGGGACACGGTACCAGCTGAAGGTGGGATAAAAATATTCACTTTGAACAAAACCATGTAGTTTGATTAACAAAAAGCCTATATTCCATTTGTGATCAATAAAAGTTAAGGTGTTAACACTTTACAATTTCAAGATTTACAGTAAAGCTACAGCATGGAATTATTCTAAGAATAGATTTGTAAACAAATGGACTAGGAGGTATGTAAAAGAGACAGGACTGAAAGGCATGTAGGAAGACCATTTTTTTGGTCATTTAACTTTTAAAAGCTAAGCTAGGCTAAATTGTTTTAAAATTCTAGGTCCTAGAAGAACCTCTATTGCTGGAAACCCTACACTCAAAAAGTCCAATTCATTGGTCTGGTGTGAGTAATATAAAACTTTCTCTGTTGTTTCTTTGGGTTGGTAGAATATTCTAGGACTAGACTTGAGAGCCTTGTGGCTCTCCTGCATAGAGAGCCAGCCACATATGCAGAGACACGATAGGACTAACAAGAAGGGCAGGCAATAGCACTTCCTTTGTTTTTAGAGTTAGTGCCCCTAAAACTAAAACTTTGATCCAGTTGAGTAAACTGTGTTCTTCTCTGTTTTAGATGCAGCTGACCTACAGAAAGCAAAGGAACACAGTCAGAGACTGGATGAGGAAATTCTGGCTTTAAGAAATAGGGTTCGATCACTTGACTCAGAAAAAAAGGTGCTTGGTGAAATGGTAAGTTTAATTTACTTCTTAGAACTTATTTAAATGTGTCTACCATAACAACCAACAGCATAAGCAACACAGATATACAACATGTAGGTTGGTCTTTAGCAGGGACCAATACTGGGGGCTGTAACATCTCAGCGGGATGCCATGCTTTGACCTAGATGTATTCTATCAGTACTTACATTTTATACATTTTAACTACCTATGCTACACAGCAACATTGTTGCTATATGTAAATCTAGGATCTTTTAAATAAGGGATTAGATAATAGTTTATAGTTAACATGTTCACCACATAGAAAATATTGCCCTATTATATTGGATAAGTTTAAGATTATTAATACTAAATCTTTAATTGTTTATATTTTTAACCATTTCTTCTTAGCAATTTACTGATTTTTAAAAATATGTACTTCCAAATTTTAAATACATCTCTTCAATTTTAGTTTATATTCATTAAATAATCATATATCTAATGTCCAAAAAAATACCTGGCATAATACTAAGTGCTTTAGAAATTTTTTTTGTAAGAATGACTAAAGACCCATCAGGATGACTGCTAGCAAAACAAGAGAGAATAACAAATGTTGGTGTGGAAAAATTGGAACCTTTGTGCATTGCTGGGGAGAATCTAAAATAGTGCAGTCACCATGGAAAACAGTTACTCTAAAAGTTAAATATAGAATCACCATGTGGTCTGACAATTCCACTTCTGGATATATGCCCCAGAGAATTGAAGACAGAGACTTAAACATATATTTGTACATCCATATTCATAGCAGCATTATTCACAATAGCCAAAAGGTGGAAGCAGCTCAGATGCTCATTGATAGAGGAACAGATAAGCAAAATGTGGTATAGCCTTACAATGGAATATTATTCAGCCTTAAAAAGGAAATAAATTCATACACATGCTGCAACATGAATGAACATTGAAGACATTATTCTAAATGAAATAATCCAGTCACAAAAGGACAAATAATATATGATTACACTTATATGACATGCTTAGAGTAGTGAAAGTCATAGAGACAGAAAGTATTAATAGAATGGTGGTTGCCAGTGGCTGGGGAGAGGGAGTAATGGGAGTTATTGTTTAATGGGTATAGAGTTTCAGTGCAAGATGAAGCGTTCTGGAGATGGATGGTGGTAACGGTTGCACAACAGTGTGCTTGACAATGTGCTTAATAATATGCTTAATGATGCTTAATGCCACTGAACTGTACACTTAAAAATGGCTAACATGGTACATTTTGTGTTATGTGTATTTTACCACAATAAAAATGCAATCATAAAAAGAATGAATAAATAAGTGAAGATTGGTAAGTTGTCTAAGTCTTTGTAAATTTATGTATCTAACCCATTTATATATTTAATACATGTGTGTATGCATGAAAAAGTTCAGGTAGGGTACATTCCAAGCAGTGTTATTTCTGGAAAGGGAGGAACAGTTGTAATATCAAGGAAAATACAGTTTTTTATTCTGTATACCTATGTGTTGAAGTTTTACAAGGAGAGCGTATTTGTATGTTACTTGTATAATTAAAAAACAAAGCAATGATTTATCCAAACAAAAATTGAGAAGTCTACAAGATGTTTTCTTTTGTATTTAAGGTTGAAAGACTTAAAGGAGAGGTGTGTGAATCTCAAGACAATAAGCAACTTGAAGACCACTCCCCTGGAAAAACTGTGGGTGGTGAACAGAGAGAACAGGTATTGTATTTTAAAGTTCTGTTCTTTCTGATTTCTAATTTTTGAGTTGTACTTTTACAGAGTGTACTAGAGTAATTGGTGCTAATCATTTGCTACTCTCCTTATTGGGCTGTCTTTTTCTATTGCTCAGCTAATTAGAGTGGAAGAGGAAAGAGGGCTACAGAGGATGTGTTTCTGTTCACTTCTTCCTCATAAAGAACAATTAATTTGGAGAATATAGTAGATTGTTTCTCTGAAAAGAATCTTATGAAGATACAACCAATTTGAGCATATCATGGAGAACTAATAAGGTGTAGGCTCCAGTGTGTACAGTATATACTATATTCAGCATGATCAGCCTCTGAAGTGGTGAGCAAAGCAATCAAACCCAAGACAGACTGATGCAAGTGCCAGGGTTTATCTAGTAAATAGTAGTTTTAATTTGCCTTTTGAGCATGTCTAATGACCATGAATATGTTTTGGCCATTTATATATTCTTTTGTGAAGCATCTGTTCAAATCTTTTGTACGTTTTCAGTGGAGTGGTCTGTATTCTTAAAAAATTTTTATTTTTATTATTATTATTATTTTTAGAGATAGATTCTCACTCTGTTGCCCAGGCTGGAGTACAGGGGTGCAGTCCTGGCTCGCTGAAGCCTCAACCTTCCAGGCCCAAGCCATCCTCCTGCCCCAGCCTCTCAAGTAGCTGGGACTATAGGCATGCAGCACCACACCCAGCTAATTTAAAAAAATCTTTTTTGTAGAGATGAGGTCTCACTGTGTTGTCCAGGCCAGTCTCAAACTCCTGGCCTCAGGTAATCTTGCCTCCCAAAGTGTTGGGATTACAGGCATGCACCACTCTTTCTGGTTTGTATTCTTTTTATTGAGTTGTAGAAGTAGTTTCATTTTGTTGTTTACATATTAGAGATGATATCTCACTATGTTGCCCAAGCTGGTCTCAAACACCTGGCCTGAAGTGATTCTCCATCTTTGACTTCTTAAAGTGCTGGGATTACATGCATAAGCCACCACACCTGGCCAAGAGTTCTTTATATATATATTCAAACTAGTCTTTTGTTTTAGATATATGTATTATAAATCTTTTCTTATTCTATGCCATGTCTTTCATTTTCTTAATAGTGTTTTATAAAGAGTAGAAGTTTTAAAATTTTGATGGAGGTGAATTCATCAATGTTTTCTTTTATAATTTTGTGGTGGGACACAAAAAGCCTATTTAAGAAATCTTTGTCTACTCTAAGGTCACAAAATATGTTTCTTATACTTTCTTCTAAATATTTTATAGTTTTTAGTTTCTACATTTAGGTTTATGGTCTACTGCAGGTAATTTTTGTATATACTGTGTGGTAAAATTGAGAGGTTCATTCATTTTCAGTGTATATCCAGTTATTCCAGAAATATTTGGTAAAAAGAGTTATTTCCTTACTGATAAAGGTTAGCACCTTTATTAAAAAAATTTATAAAGGTCTACTTCTGGACTCTGTATTCTATTCTGTTAACCCACCCATGTGTTTATTCTTAGAACAATTCTAGAACAATCTTAGAACAATGCTGTAACTTTATTGTAAGTCTTGAAATTATAAGGTGTAACACCTCCTTCTCTCAACTCATCAAAGTCATTCTCTGTCCAGCTTTGTTCCGTTGCTGGTGAGGGGCTGTGTTCCTTTGGAGGAGAACAGGCACTCTGATTTTTAGAATTTTCAGCTTTTCTGCTCTAGTTTCTCCCTATCTTTGTGGTTTTATCCACTTTTGGTCTTTGATGATGGTGATGTACAGATGGAGTTTTGGTGTGGATGTCCTTTCTGTTGGTTAGGTTTCCTTCTAAGTCAGGACCCTCAGCTGCAGGTCTGTTGGAGTTTGCTGGAGGTCCACTCCAGACCCTGTTTGCCTGGATATCACCAGCAGAGGCTGCAGAACAGCAAATATTGCAGAATGGCAAATGTTACTGCCTGATCATTCCTCTGGAAGCTTCATCTCAGAGGGGCACCTGGCCATATGAGGTATCCGTCTGCCCCTACTAGGAGGTGACTCCCAGTTAGGCTACTCGAGTGTCAGAGACCCACTTGAGAAGGCAGTCTGTCCATTCTCAGATCTCAAACTCCATGCTGGGAGAACCACTACTCTCTTCAAAGCTATCAGACAGGGACGTTTAAGTCTGCAGAAGTTTCTGCTGCCTTTTGTTCAGCTATACCCTGCCCCCAGAGGTGGAGTCTACAGAGGCAGGCAGGCCTCCTTGAACTGTGGTGGGCTCCACCCAGTTCGAGCTTCCTGGCCACTTTGTTTACCTACTCAAGCCTCAGCAATGGCAGATGCCCCTCCCCCAGCCTCACTGCCGCCTTGCAGTTCCATCTCAGACTGCTGTACTAGCAGTGAGCGAGGCTCCATGGGCGTGGGACCCTCCAAGCCAGGCATGGGATATAATCTCCTGGTGTGCCATTTGCTAAGACTGTTGGAAAACCACAGTATTAGGGTGGGAGTGTCCCACTTTTCCAGATAGCGTCTGTCATGGCTTCCCTTGGCTAGGAAAGGGAATTCCCTGACCATTTGTGCTTCCCGGGTGAGGCAGTGCCCTGCTTTGTATCGGCTCATGCTCCATGGGCTGCACCCACTGTCCAACAAGGCCCTTTGAGATGAACCTGGTACCTCAGTTGGAAATGCAGAAATCACCTGTCTTCTGTGTCGCTCACGCTAGGAGCTGTAGACTGGAGCTTTTCCTATTCAGCCGTCTTGGAACCTCCCTTGTGAATTCTTGTCAGGAAATTTTTATCCCCCAAGAAAGAAACTCCATATCCATTAGTATTCATTTCTTATTTTTCTACCTGCCCCCTCCCCCCAGCCTCTGGCAACCACTAAAGTACTTTCTGCCTTTGAATTTGGCTATCTTGTACATTTTACATAAGTAGAACCATACAATATATGGACATTTGTGTCTGCTTTCTTTCACTTAGCATAATTTTTTCAAAATTCCTATTGTAGTATGAATTAGTACTTTATCCCTTTCTATGGCTGAATATTTTATTGTATGGATTTTCTTTTTGAGACAGGGTCCCACTCTGTTACCCAGGCTGGAGTACATGATCACTGCAGACTTGACCTCCCAGGCTTAAGCAATTTTCCCACCTCATCCTCCTGAGTAGCTGGGACTATAAATGCGCACTATCACACCCAACTAATTTTTGTGATTTCTAGTAAAGATAAGGTCTGGCTACGTTCCCAAGCTAGTTTCAAACTCCTGAGCTCAAGCAATCCTTCCACTTGGCCTCCCAAAATGCTGAGATTATAGACATGAGCCACTACACCCCATCCTTAGTGAAGTGGCATTGTTGTCAGGGGTAAATACCTAGGGTTCATCATCTCACGCTAAGAAGATTAAAGACATAGACACACGTGGTTGGGTTAAGGAGTGGAAAGTTTAATAGGCAGAAGAAAGGAGAGAGGAGAGCAGCTTTCTCTTTTGTGAGAGAGAGGAGCATCCAAAAGGTAAAAGCCGGACTGCGACAGACTGCAGCAGATTTTATAGGCTAGCTTGAGGAGGCAGTGTCTAGGGTCCACAGATTGGTTCAACTAGGTGTGACGTTTACATAGTGTGTGGGGAAGGCTTGTCACCCCACCCTAATCTTAATATGCCAATAGGCTTTCTACTTGGCCAGCACCATCTTGTCTGCTCCATACTGTACACATGGCTGGCAAAGAGAAGGGAAGATAGAGCCACCATTTTGATCATGCCTGGTCCCAGGTAGCCTTTTCCTATTGGCACAACTGCCAGCATTCACCTTTGCAAGCTTCTAGCTTACTTGTCTATGTCTGCAGCTCAGTTTTACAGGTTGCTCTTTGTTAGAGAAGAAAATGATTTGGGGTCTGTTTGTCATTAAAAGTAAAACCTTAATGAGGACTTCCTTACCCTCACTATCTGCCTAAATAATTTCTTTTTCACTCCTATCTTATTCCCCCACTGAGGAGTGGTAACCCTAACTGTTATTAAGGGGTATTAGATAATGACTCTTTCTGACTAATTCCTGCCAAAAAGGGGTGCCCTGACAGTTAGGGCTTCTCCTGGGGTCAGTCTAAGGGTCCTCAGAAGAAAGGCATGTCCATGCATGGTTCTGTCCACAGTACCATTTGGAGTTTGATTGCTGTCCACCTTTCCGATGGGTTGTAATACTGGTTTGCCTCCACCAGGTGCTGCTGAAATGTTAATAGTGTTAATATAAAAGTAACATTAACAAATGTTAATACTGTTAATATAGAAGGATAAGTGGCATTGGATTTGGGTGGCTAGAGTAACTTTAGTGTTAACCTTGGCTGAATCTTTCCTGCAATTATTAATTCTTTCACAACTTCCACAGACCATTTATGACATGCTTATACTTTCTGACTTTTCCTAAACATCCCTCTTTTTAAACAAGCAGTTATTCTCTTTAGGATAAGAATTTACCATACAAGATCTTTTCTTATATAAAATCTATTTTCTTTATAACCTTCTTTGCGTAGCTAGGGTGTGACATATTACCAAACCCAATAAAAAGTCCTGGTGGACTCAGTGATAGTAAAACCTTCATGTTTACCTCTTGTCAGTAGCTATTATTCCTGCTCTAAGGATAATAATTGAGCAAAATACTACAGTAGTGGAAACTCTCTGTCCAGTATTTCAGTTAGAAGGTGCTACCATGTATAACTCTACCTCAAATAGTAGAGTGAGTGTAGCGATTCCCACAAGGGTGGGATTATTAGATCATTCCATCTAAAATTTTAGTGCCAAGATATCGAATTTCCCTTTTGGAAGGTCTATGAAGTTCCTTGATTTTATTTTCCCAAAGAAATCTCTGGCTTATGAGCAACTTACTCACATTTATTACCTGGCAGGATTTGCTGGATAATTGGCCAGAACTAGCATATTGATCCAGATTTTTACATTGCCCATACATTTTTGTTTTTCTCAACCTGCAGGAAATCATTACTTGATTCACAGGAATAAGCATGGCTAGTCTAAAATGTAGGCAAAAA